GCCACCCATCAAATGCTGCATAGAGTGAACCTTGTGGTAATGACGCCCGCCTACCACTCTCTCTCTCATAAAGCAGTTTGGTGGATCCCGCAGCTGGAAAGCTGGCCTCTCGAAAGTTCTCCTCTCGCATTATAGAAAGCATTATGTAAATCTTTTGAATGTTCTCTTCTTTAGACAAATTGCCTAAAATTGGCAGTGACAGAAATACAATAAGAACACTTACAAAGTCATTGCTGCAAATATGACAATTTCCAGGCTTCCTGCATCTCCCAGACACAGTGTCTCAAGTTCATTTCTAATGCATGCATAAAGAGAGGAGAGACGAAACTCACCACACTGATGTGAGAGTCCAAGCACCTTGGTGGGCAAGGATAAGCAGTCATCATGTCAAACCTGGTCCCCAACACCCTTCCAGGGCTGTTGGCCACATTGGTTATATGCTGTGATGGTGAAATGAATGTTCAGAGCTTTAGAATTGAAAGTCAGAGCCCTTAGAGACATCTTGTCTCATCCCTCGATTTCTAGAAGGGGAAACTGAGAACCAGAGAGGAGGTGGCACATAAATGCATTCCTGGCTGGTGGCCTCAGCCACTTTGCGAGACACCTGTTTTCAAAACAGAAGTAATTTTTGTGTCCTTTTGCAAGAAGTACAATTTTCTCTGTTTTAAAATTACATACCTGGTTGGGCCCTAAATTCGACTACCAACATTAATCAGGAAGCATTCATTATCTGAGTAGACTGAGGTTTAAGGCTTTGGAACTCAGAGGTCAAATAATAATCTTCTCTTTTAGGTAAAGAAACAGAAATGCAGTCTGTAGCAGGGGAAAAATGTTATCATTATCTTTGACATGAGCAAAACCAAACGACCCAATACCTTCCCTCACCAGATGGCTTAGTTTGAACATGTCATCAGGAAAGACCAGTCACTAGACAAGGACACCATCCTCGGAACGTGGAGGCACAAATGCGGGAGACCCTCCACAAGATCCAAGATTCCAATGATCGTGGACACGGCACAGGACCAGGCAGCATTTCCTCCTGTTGTTCAGGTCACCAAGTGTCAGAGCCAGTTTAGTGTCTCACATCAGCAGCCAATGGTAGTAACACAGAGAGTTCTTTTGGTTGATTCTCCTTTTGTTACAGAGAAGTGGTCATCAGGAATTGAGATGTTGACAAAGGGGGATCTGTGTAGGAGATCCTGGATAGACTGAGAGAACAATGGGAAACAGAACTCAAAATCATGAAAAAAAAAAAATCAGCTTTGCTGGTCTGATGGAGTCTGGTGAAACCCTTGAGACTATGGCCCATAGCTGCCCTTCAGGTCTGGAATTGAACCCACTCCTGTGGCTTCCAGCCAAATAGTAGACAGGCATATGAGCCAAACATTTACATTAGGTAGTTGCACTCCTTGGAGAGAACAATCATTGGAGAATAGAAGGGCTGTGTATGCTCAAGGGGACAGACAGCTCAGGGGGCAGGAGTGCATGGAAGGAAGGACCCAGGAAGAGGTAACTACGGGGAGGAAGTGGGAGGGGAGCTGATGCATTATGAGGAATTGCAGTCAATGTCATGAGACAAAGTGTATGTCAGCTGCTGTATGGAAACTGAATTTGCTCTGTAAACTTTCACCCAAATAACGATTTAAAAAAATAAAATAAAATAAAAGCATTGAGAACAAGAAATTATATTTGTCAAAACAAAATGCTTCCAATTCTGTATTTTTCCAGCATTTAAATTGGGATTTGTTTGTGAGCAGGGTTGCTTTTCCGTCTAATTCTGGAAGATTTTTATGACTCCAGGCAGTTTCTCTGGGATTTTGATAAATCTATTCCCTGGTAATTAATGTCATTTTTATTTTTAAGGTCAGTACTGCCGACAGCTTCCGACGAGAGAGTGATGATCTTACTGACCACATGCAGGTATAGTTTGGAATTCAGTCTCTCAGTAAACCAAGTGAGACCACCCTGCACTTAGAGATGGGACTGCCGATTGGCATTCTTGCGTGCGCCGTCCATCGATGCCTCGTTGAAAAGGAGATAGTTACTGCATGCGGCTGGGTAGGCCCTCGAGGGACCACAGGAGAGCTGTGCCTGGTGCCTTGATGTCAAATTAGCGTGCAGGCTGCTGTTGACAATTAGAAATCAACCGTACAGGGCCAACCCAGAGCTTTTGGCACACCATTTCCTTGGTTGGGGAACTGAGATTTGCTGGAGTTCATAGTTTTCAGTTGTGGGCGAGGGTTGGGTGCAGCCACTCACCCCATCATGGGAGCTCTTGCCACACTGTGATGCTGCCGTAGGGTTAGGCGTCCCTGGGTGGTATGAATGGTTCAACACTCTACTACTAGCAGCCAGAAGGTTGGTGGTTGGATCCCACCCAGAGGTGCCTTGGAAGCCAGGCCTAGCCATGTCCTTCTGCAACGCCACAGCCTTGAAAGCCCCATGGAGCAGTTCTGCTCAGCACATGGGCCAGAACTTCCAGGACACCAACCGACCACAGGAACAACCACCTTACAGTTATTCCCTCACTGTTGTTCTTCCAGTCAGTTCACTTTCTAATTCAGTAGTTTTTTAAAAAAATGCACTAAAACCTGCAAAAGCTGGAAACTGTATGAGGTCAAAACCTGTTAGAGAAGGAAAATGCAAATATTTTCCACTAAAATGAGCAATAGAAAAGTGGTAAGACTGTACCCTGGCAGAGGAAGAAAACTTGTGAGACTGAGAAAAACAAGGCCGTCCCGTCGGGTTCCCACTCTCACAGGGTTCACTGTATTTATATTTGCGGACACAAATCAAGGTGGTTCACAGGCAGATTCACGTGCTCTGACTGGATGGTAGCTTATATACATATATCTCACAGAAAACCGTGCTGTGGAATTTTGCCTGGCCTCTCTTGCCTAACAAATTTCTGAGCTGAAAGTCTGAGTGTGTCTCTGTCTGTCTGTTCAAAAGAGAGCTCAGTAAACAGACAGGCATTGCAATCCTGTCAGCCCTGAGCTCAGACCTTCTCAGCAGTGGCTTCAGAAATGTTGAGAGGTGAAGAAAAAGCCTCACTTGGCCCTCGCCCAGCCACTACATGTGTGCCTACTGTTCTTCAGGTGTTGGCACGTGGGAAGCCATGAGCTTTGATGCTGTGTCTGCGTCATTCCTAAAATTATCCCGGGAACCCAGTGCTGTCGGGTCTATTCAGACTCATTCCCATAGGACACAGTAAAACTGTCCCATCCAACTGTAACTTTGACAGAAGCCGATGGTCACATAGTTCGCCCATACAGTGGCTTGTGGGCCCAAACTCCCAACCTTTTGGTTAGCAGCCAACCGCTTAACCACTGTGCCACCAGGGCTCCTGGGAACCTTGTAAAGTCACTGGGTGGCATAGGCCTCACCGTTTAGGAAAGACTCAAAGCTCTTGAGACAACAGAGGCTTGTAATCTCTCTGCTGTTGCAGGGATTGGAGAGAGAGCACATTGGAGAGAGAGCGTTAGCCCGGGGACTGCACGTTAAGTAAACGCACAATAATACAAGCTGCTGACATCATCACCATCGTCTCCTCATCACTGACATTTTAACTTCTAGGGAGAGAGCCATCGGCCTCTACGTCGATCCAAGAGAAGATGGGTCATCACCACCTTGGAGCTTGAGGAGGAAGACACAGGGCCCTTTCCCAAACTCGTTGGTGAGGTAAAGCTCCTGTCTTCAGCAGGGCCATCAGCCTCTCCGATCACATTGCTTTGGCAGGAGGAGTTACCCTGAAAGGACATGTGTTAGTGAGGCCGCTTAGGAGAGCTGGATGGAGAGAATACGGCCTGGGGCTCAGGAGGCCAGGGTTCCAGAACCCACTCTCCCTCCCTCGCCCGACTTCAGGCGGCCCTTCCTCTGTCTGAGTGTGTGAGAATCAGGATCACGTATGGCAGCAGACCAGTTAATTCCAGTCTGCAGATAAGTTTTAGTTAGTCCATGTTGAGCCTTTAAAAAATCAGTTAGAAAGTTTTATTATTTAAAAATAGGGAGACTTTAAAACTATTCTGCACTCCTAGAGACTTTTTAAAATGGAAACAGCTGGGAACATGGCCGCTGCATCCCCACACGGCAACAATAGATGGGCCTTGAGTTTCCTCGAGTGCAGGAGACCCCACCCTCAATGTGTCCCTCATGCTGAGGCTGAGCATTAGCTGCTGCTGAACACACGAGGGTGTTGGGATGGTGGAAGTTTTACTCTTGGCCCATGTCCTTTATTTCCATTAACTTCCTGGTCCCAGTGGGCCTCTGAGTTTTGAACACAGTGACTAAGATCCTGTACAGATCTGACGTTCTAGGATTCTTAGAAAAAATATTTTAAATAATTTGTATGTTTTGACATTTATAAAAATAGAACATGCCTACTATAAACAAAACATAAACGACAGAAAGCTTTCAGGGCCCCATGGTGAAAAGTGTGTGTTGCCAAGACTCAGTGGGCTCAGGGGTTCATATTCCAGATAGATTATGTTCTCATGCAAAAAGTCTCCCAGTGTCTGCATCTGGACGATGGGGCCACTGACAGACAGCACCTACCTGGCAGGGCAGTTCTAAAAGTCGAGTAGGTCAGCACGAGTAAGGCATGTGCTAAACGGGCATTGTACAGCTTTCTGAGCACCAGCTGTGTGATTACGGTCCTCTCTGCCTCTAGAGATAATCAACAGTGAAAAATGGCATCATTCTTCCAGATCTTTCTCTACAGATTTGCTAAGGAAAATCTGTGTCAAGGCACAGAATCGCCTTGCATTGTACACCCGCCCTTCTACTTTAATGCATCATGCTCTTTCAGGAACTATACGGGATCCAACTGACAACAGCAACTCAAAAGTTGGTCACAAAATGGGGGCAGTGAGTTCCTGTGACTCGGGGTAGGATAATTCAGAAAAGGAGGGTGGGGATGGTTGCACAACACGTAGATGTGGTTGAGTTGCTGTGTGTCCTACTGTGTATGTTTTCAACAACAACACATTTTAAAAACACAAACAGCCACCATCTAACTGCAGAGGGGCTGCAGAGAGTTCCCGGCCGTGTTAAAAGAGTGCCGCGTCATGGCCCTTCCCATATTGATGGCCACTTGCGTTGTTTCTAATTGCTCACTCTTACAAACCAAATGGCTGGAAGCATGCTTTCCCCACGTCTTTGCACATCTTTTGATTTCTTTAGGATAACTCCCCAGATGTGGAATTTTGGGTACTGCTTCTTAAAGATGCTTTTGATTCTTAGCCTTGCAACTTGATCTGCCTAGTAATTATTCTCATCCTTTTTTTTTTTATTATTGTTTCTGCTTCCAGCTGTTCAACAATATGTCTAATGACATGTCACTGATGTACTTGATCAGTGGACCGGGTGTAGATGAGTATCCAGAGCTTGGCTTGTTTTCCATAGAGGACCATGAGAATGGGAAAATATACGTTCACCGCCCCGTTGATCGAGAGGCAACACCGTCTTTCATGGTAACCAGTGTTTCATACATCCTAAGGTTAAACTTGATTTATTGTAAAAGTCTTGCAGGAATATTGTATTTGGTAAGAATTACTGGAGCCAACTATGTCCCAGGTTCCGGGAGATTGATATATTGAGCACTGTGACAAGTTTTAAAAGTATCCATGGGACACAGGAGAATTTTGTAGTCTTTAGAGTGTGAGGTGTGGGGGCCGTCTTTGTAATGATTCCGGATCTGCTCTAGATCTTTGTTATAATGACCAATACCCAACACGATCTGGACACCTGAAAGCATTTGGGGTGCAATTACAGGATGCTTGTAAAAGGGGCTGATTTAGTTTTGGGTACGTCACCGTGAAATCTCTGAGACAAGCTACAGACCCCTCTGGTTGCCTCATCACTGACCAGCAAGGAATTGCATCCATGTTGACAGTTGTTTATTGTGAGTCCATTGTTCATTATCATTGCATCACCCCCACACTCGTCTGCCCCAGGAGGCAGGCTTTGAAGTTGAAATTCACGTTCTAAACCAGGAAGGGAATGTCCAAAGAGAAGTCTAGTTTCCTAGGGCTGCCCTAACACAGTAATAAACACTGGGTGGCTTAAAACAGCAGAAATGTGTTCTCTCACAGTCTGGAGGCCAGAAGTCTGAAGTCAAGGTGTTGGCAGGGTTGGTTCTTTCTGGGGGCTCTGAGGGGAGCCTGTTCCATGCCACTCTCCTGGCCTCTGGTGGTTGCCCGCGATCCCTGGTATTCCTTGCCCTGTATGTGCATCCTTCGCTGAGATCTCTGGCTCTGTCTGTCATGTGGCATTTTTCCCTGTGTATCTCTCCTCTTCTTGTAAGTCCTCCTGCCATGTTGGAGAGGGGCCCACCTCATGACCTCATGTAACTAATTATATCTGTATAGATGCTATTTCCAAATAAGGTGCTACCCCAGGTCCTGGGGATTAGAACTTGAACGTAGCTTTTCTGGGGACATAAATCAACCCCCATCAGCCCCAGACTACATGCTGGTATGTCACATTGCCCCCCTGACCTTCTAGGGGCTGTCAAGCCACCAAGTGTTCTATTTTGGACTTCTGTGGAACAGTCCTATCAGGAACAGGGCTTGGTTCTCAGGCCTGTTTGGCAATGCACTAACTCCTTCAGGGTGAGAAGATGTTGCTTGACACCGAGAAATGTAGTTCTGATGCGTTGCTCTGTGGCATCCAGAGGCCTCCAGAGATCATGTATGATAACAAAGATGTTCTTAACTCACAGATGGTCTCTGAATCTCATTTTCAAACAGGCAGAAATTACTCAAAATTCCATGAAGACATGGAGAATGTATTCCTCAGGGACAACTTGCTAGGTCTTTTTAATCCACGTACCCGTCTTTCAAAGCATAGATTAGGACTGTGATTTTACATTGCTCATGTAACTAACTATGTGATAATGGATCCCCTCATTTGACTATAAGCTTCCATGAGGGAAGGTACAAGGTGGACTTTCCAAAGCATGTCCTCACCCCATCCTTGGCTCTCTGTCCTGTTATCCTGTTTTACTTTTTCCTCAACACTTCTCATTACCTGAAAATTACACTTTAGTGTTTGATTCTGTGTTGATGAGTGTCAGTTCCGAGTGGAGAGAGACTGTGACTGTCTCGTTCACTGTCACCCCTCTGCCCCGTTAGGAACTGAACTTAGTACCTAATACAACAAAATGCTGGGTTTCTGAGGCGGTATCACTACGGAAATAGATTGCCCAACCTTCCTTCCGAGGAGTGACTGGTGGGTTTGAACTGCCAGCAGTCAAATGCCTTAGGCACTAAGCCACCAGAGCTCCCCAGTACCTAGTAGGTTCTCAGTTAAGTATGTTGAATGAAGGAAGGAATGCAGTGACATGCAGCCTGTGCCTGCCAGGGCTTCACTCTCTGGTTGTTGTTGTTGTTATGTGCCGTCGCATCGGACCTGACTCATAGCGACCCCTCCTGGGTTTCCGAGGCAGTATCACTATGGAAGTAGATTGCCCAACCTTCCTTCCGAGGAGTTGGCTCATGCTCTGGTTAGCAAGACACAGAGCACACTGATGAAGGATTTGCAGTTGCCGCTGAGCTAATTTGGGTCCATTGCAAGCCCGTGTGTGTCAGAGGAGATCTGTACCCCACAAGGTTTTTCAATGGCTGATTTTCCAGAAGTGATTGCCACGCCTTTTCCCCCTGAGGCACCCCTGGTGGACTTGAACCTCCAGGCTTTCAGTTAGCATTCAAGTGGCTAAACCTTTGTACCTCCCTGGCTTGTTGTAAGACTAACCCATTGCTGTTGAGTTGATTCTGACTCACAGCACCCCTAGGGGACAGAGTAGAACTGCGCCATAGGGTTCCCAAGACTGCAGTCTTACAGATGCAAAACCCAAACCAAATCCACTGCCCATGAGGTGATTTTGACTCACAGCACCCCTAGAGGACAGAGTAGAACTGCACCCATAAGATTTCTAAGGCTGTAATCTTTATAGGAGCAGACTGCCACATCTTTTTCTCAAGAGGCTACTGGGGGGATCAAACCACTGACCTTTCATTTAGCAGCTGAGCACTTAACCACTGCACCACCAGGGCTCCTTGATGAAAGAAACCAACAGTGCAAAGTGGCATCAGTGAAGTGCCATGTGGACACTACACAAATTGAGCAGTGTAGCTCAGGTCTCTTTCCACAGAGGAGTGTTTAACGTTGGCTTTGGCCATCCATAAGATAGCCTGTGGCACTACTTCACTCTTGAGAACCTGCAAGAGTCATTGGAACTAGCCTAAGCATCTCAAAACTCTTGTTTGGGGATGCGTTAGTCCTGGCCAGTGTCGGAGTACCCAATAGGCAAAGTAAGCATGGCCTTGCTGGTGCTTACTTACTCGTCTGTAGTGAACAATCCCATGTTTTCCCACCACAGTGAAGATTCTACTAGGGATGGCGGGCCTCTGTCTTCCCAATCTGACAACCCCTTCCTACAGAATCAAAGCTTCTATTCAGATTCACAGCCCCCGACTGGGATAGAGCACCCCATAAGCTACTGTGGGGAAGCGCATGTCAAACTGTTCACCGCAGCTCAGTAAGTGCAGGATAGCAAAGTACTTCACATGGCCCTTCTGGCCATAGTCCTTGTGACTCCCACACAGTGATTGGGTGGACTGTGTGAATAAGGTGGACGGAATCTCTGATGTTGGGGTTATGTGGCAGCTTGGCTAGGCCATGATTCCCAGTGTTGTCTCATTGTCCATTTCATGACTGGATGTAATTATCCCACATTTGGGGATGTGTTGTAAATCCTAGCCTCTATGCCTCTGGTCCATTTGGGAGTGAGTTGTCTGTTATGTTAATGAGGCAGGATTAGGGTACCCTTACTGAAGTCACCACCCTTCACTGTGTTAGTGAAGACATGTCTTTGCTTGAGTCACACTTTTTGTCTTATCACCAAGAAGAGACGGAAGCAGAGTACATCCTTTGGAACCAGGGTCCCTGTGCTGGGAACCTCCTAGACCCAAAAGACAGAGAGCTGTAACACTGGAGACTGAGAGCTGGCCAGAGGCAGTGGCGGAGAAGAGTCAGCAGCACCAGGAGACCGACAGCTGGCAGCATAGTGGACTTCCAGCCCCCAGGACAAGAGACGTGAGCTCTTTGGGCAGGAGGCTTGCTGACAGAGTGAGGTGCCCCGGGACCTTATAGCAGAGCTAAAGAAACCCTCCTGTACACAGGGCAGAAGCCAGGCTGGCCCAAGAGGCCTGAAGGGCTGGGGCTGAGAGGCCAGGGCCAGGGAGAAGTGTGCCTGCAGGCAGTGCTGAGAAGCTGTCCTGACCAAGAACTGAACCCGAGTCATCTCCGAGCCTGAACTGTGACCTGTCACTCCCCTAATAAACCCCACTGTTGCGCGTGTTCTCTGTGAGTTCTGTGTGGCCATTGCAAGGAATCATCAAACCCAGCAGAGAAGCAGAGAGTGCGTGGGAGGGACAGCTAGTGTCTGAATTGGTAACAAGGCTGGAGAGGGCTTGGTTGGATCTCCACCTGACAGGAATTGGCCTTGGGCTGCGGATGCAGATAATGACTCTCTCCCCGTCATGCAGTTGGAGGAGGCCAGAGGCCCTCCACCATGCCATTTTCCTAGTAAGCCCGCACTCACCTTGCTCACTGGGTAATCCTCCCCTGTGCACGTGCAAGAAAGTAATACCAGGTGAGATTTGCTATAAGATTTAAGATAATCAGAAATGGATGAAGTCGGACTCTTTTTCTGTGTAGGAATCCTGTCAATTCATATCAAACATGCTTCATTTCATAGGCAGTAAATACAACCAAGAAAATCCATCCATTTACAACCCTCAGGATAATTATTTGTTCATTTTTATTGCCACAGGGTCATCCTTCCCTAGTTATAACCTGTGTGTCTAAGCGATTTCATATTGTGCACTTGGCATTTCTGATTCCGCCTGCTCGTTTGTGGGTAAGAGTGTGGACCCTGTGCGTGTAATTTCCAATAGCCATGCGCTGATCCATCACGCTAATGCACCATGGTTTGTTTATCCAAGGCTATAAATCTCCAGGCTGTAACAAAAGGCTGAGAAGCCTGTCCAAGTGCAGAAAATATCCACGGCGTTCCATTCTCCACTGTGATCCTCAGTTCCCGGGAAATGCTAAGTGTCTCGCCAAAGAATAAACAACACTCATGCCTCTCAAGCATCTTATGAAACTGAAGGTCTCGGGTGTAGCTTTTAGGGTAATAAATGGAATAGGAAATAACACACATAAAACAAACATGTGGTTGTTATTTTTAAGTGGAAGCATTACAGTTGGTACAGGTTGGGAGCCAGCAGTCGGGGTGATTAAGGAGCGGAGGGATGCCAGCAGTCATAAATTATGGGGCCGATGCAGAGACAGGCATGGCAGGAGGCCAATTTGCTTGCACAGAAATTTAAAAATGTATGTACAGGCCCTGAAGCAGACCAGCTCACGAGCAGCAGCACCGCGGTGCCCTTCAGTACTGTGGGGGAGACGAGGAGGGCGGAACCCAAGGGGACCTCTGGGCCCAGCCGCCATTTTAGGGTGCCTGGTGGGACCGGCACGGCAGGTGCCAATGAGTGAACAACGTGTCTGCTGGAAAAGAGGAGGAGAAAGGCCACGTGGGCTCTGAAGAGGAGGGGAGAGACTGCAGCCTGCAGCTTTGCAGATCCTCAGATACCCGCTGGGGCCTGCTGCTGGGCTCTGTGAGGCCAGAGGGAGGCTGTGAAGGACCGCTGGTAGTGCCATCACCAAAGGCTTTGGGCTGGAATTTGGGTTGCTTTGTCTCTGTCATGGATTGAGTGTTGCTGTTGTTGGGTGCGGTCGAGTCATCTCTGACTCATAGTGACCCTGTGCACAGCAGAATGAAACACTGGGGCAGCCTCATGGTCCCTGCTGTACCTGAGCCCATACGATGAGCCCATCGCTGCAGCCACTGTGTCAGTCCATCTCACTGAGGGCTTTCCCCTTCTTCACTGACCCCGCACTTTACCAAGCATTCAGCTACATGGATTGAATGATGTCCCCCTAAAGAGGTTGAATTCCTAATGCTACAGCTGTGTGTGTGTGACCTTGTTTGGGAAAATGGAGTCTTTCTTTGAAGATCCTCCCAGATAATTAGTGAGCTCATCAAGGGAGCCTTAGTGGTTTAAAGCACTGGGCTGCTAAGCCAAAGGTCAGTGGTTCAAACCCACTAGCTATTCCACAGAGGAAAGATGTGTCAATCTGCTGCCATGAAGATGATGGCCTTGGAAACCCTGTGGGGCAGTTCTGTCCTCTCACATGGGGTCCCTATGGGTCCGACTTGACTTGATGGCAGTGGGATTTAAGGGGGTCACAGCAGAGCCGGGTGGGATGATGGGGGGCTTACAGCAGAGGAGACACGGAACACACATGGGGAGAGGGCAGCCACAGGCGGCGAAGGGACGCCCAGGACTGTAGGCAGCGCCAGCAGCCGGGACTGACCAGGAGCTTCTGCTCCGACCCTCAGCCGAGTCGACACAGCCGGGACCCTGGGTGGGAGTCCAGCCCCCAGAGGTAGGAGGGCAGGACATTTCCATTCTTGAAGGTGACCCTGTGCTATGCACATAGGCTGCCCTAGGCTCTGTGGTGTTTTGTTATGGCAGCAGGACACTAAGCCAGCCTCGAAGCTGAGCTGGACAGTCACCTGGCTCCTCGGAGCATCAGCTGCTCGAGGGGATGACAAGGGTAACCCCATGGGTTCCTGTGAGGATCAGAGGTGGCAGTCCCCGTGACGGGCTCAGCACGGTGCCAGGACCTCAGGGAGTCCTCGGGGGCCTCTCTGGGGTGACGTCATTCTTTTTATTAATGCTTACTTTTCTTCTGGAGTCAGCACACTGCTTTGTTCTGCAAGTGTTTACTGAGCACCTCGCCCATGCCAGAGGAGCCTTGGTGATGCAATGGTTAAGCATTCAGCTGCTAACCAACAGGTTGTTGGTTCGAACCCACCCAGGGGCTCTGCAGGAGAGAGATGGGGCAATCTGCTTCCATGAAGATTGCAACCAACGAACAAACAAAAAAACCACCCTGATGGGCCAGTTCTGCTCTGGCAAGTGGGGTCACTATGAGTTGGAATCAACTTGACAACACCAAACAATGGCGGTCTGCTGGCAGCGTGCTCGGCCCCCGGGGTTAATGGCACGTGAGAGCTACCTGATCCTTCCTGGGAAGTTTCATCAAGGAGAGGAGAGGGACACAGACCACGCAGCTCCACTCGGCTGATGTGGTTACTGTCGCCAGGTCAGTGGCTCTGCAGCATTAACCCAGTTCTCTGTTCCCAGGTTCGTTTTGATGTTGCGAATCGCTCAACAGGAAACATTGTGGATCGCTCCTTGCTCTTCAATATCAGGATCCGTGATGTCAATGACCACGCACCCCAGTTTCCGAAGGAGGAATTTAACATCACGGTGAAAGAGAGCCAAGAGGCAGGTGAGTGCCGGGGCACAGGGTCCCCCCACCTAGGCCTGTGCAGGATACTGATGGGGAACCTGACCCAGGTTGACCACAGGGGACATTCCTTTCTTTCTTTTGTAACTTCTCACTGTACCTTTTATTTATTTTTGTTGTGGTTTGGGTGAAAGTTTACAGCAAATTAGCTTTCCATTCAATAATTGAGACACCTTTTGTTTCGTGACATGGGTCACAATCCTCTCAATGTAACAGCACTTTCCCTCTTCCTCCCTGGTCCCCATTTCCGTTCCTCCTTCTTTCCAGCCCCTTCCTGCCTTTGGAGTTTGTTTTTGGGCACACGCTGCCCTTTTGGTCTCGTCTGGTTGGTTGCACCGAGGAGCACAATTCCCATGAGGTCTGATGTTCATTTTATTGGGCTTGTCTGTTATTTAAGGAGCTCGGGTGACTTAGTGGTTAAGGCATTTGACTGCTAAACAAAAGGTCAGTGGTTTGAACCCACAAGCCACTCTCAGGAGGAAAAATGAGGTGGTCTGCTTATGTAAAGATGTACTGCCTTGGGAACCCAGTGGGGTGCACTGTGAGTCCGAATTGAGTCAATGTCAGTGAGATTGGCTTGGTCTGTTTTGGTCTGCTGTTTGGCTGTAAGGTGACCGCTGGGGCTGTGTTCAATTACCGGTTTAAAGGGTATAAGAGCCACATTCTCAGGGGTTCCACCACTTTCTCTCAGACCAGTAAGTCTAGTCTTTTTTATGATTTGAATTTGGTTCTGCATCTTTCCTCCATTTTTCCCAGGACTTTTCTGTGTACAGATCAGAGTGGTTGGTGGCAGTGCAGAGCACCATCTTGTCCTTCTGGTCTCAGGCTAGTGGAGACAGTAGCTTGTAGGCCTTTGGACTAATTGTTTCCATGAGTCTTTCATTGTCTTCATTCTACTTCCCCTGGGAAGAGGATAGACCAATAGGTGCCTTTAGATGGCCAGCCCCCAAGCTTAAAAGAACCTAGTCATTGCAAGGTAGACTATTATCTCTGTGGTCTCTGTTAGGTCAGTTGACTCAACTGTCCCTCGAGACTGTGGTCCTAAGCTCCAAAGCCCAGTGACTCATTCCCACAAGGTGTTTGGTTATGGTTAAATTTTCATAACTTTGCCAAATCAGGAGGCTTTCACTGTTTGTTTCTGCAAGGTCATGGCCTGCGGTTGGCAGGTGTGACAT